CCAGGAACCGCTGCCAGGGTTTTCTCAGAAATGTGTGTCTGAGCTGGGAGGCTGGGACTGAAACTCCGGCTGGGGAGAGCCCCGGTGCCAGGGAGGGGGGGGGAGCAGGCAGATTCCCGGTTTAAAAATGCACATGGGAAGGAGAGGGTGGCTGGGAAATGCCTCCGGGTGCTAAAAACCCATCAGTGCTGCAGCGTGGTAGGAAAGCCGAGGTTTTGGCACGGTGTGCTTGCTGGGCAGGGCTCGTCAGGACGAGGCGGTGGGGCGGGAGGAATGGGTCTGTCCTAAATTAAGGCTCAGTCCTTCCAGGTCGAGTGGGGACTAAGCCGTGGGTCGGAGCTGGTCCCGTCGGAGAATGAAGGGGAAATTCTTGCCCACGCTGGTCCCGGGCAGCTTTCACAGCATCTTCCAGCACTGGCTGTGTTGTACCCTTACAGGCTTAATAAACTTATTTTTACTGTTACTTTGTGTTACGCTTCAGGTACTGGATGTGTCCCAATTTCTAATAAATCGGGTGTATTATGCTGTGGCTTGGAGCTGGCTTTTATGGGCAACTTCTGCTCGTCAGCTGAATGGAGAATTAGCTGGCTTGGCTCTCCAGCCGGAGGATGAACTGCTGCTTTGTGGCTTTTCTGTTGTTTTTCTCCTCTCCTTCCCCCCTCCCCGAGCTCTGCCCACCTTTTCTTTATTATTTTTTTTATTTTTTTTTATTTTTTTTTTTAGGTTGAGCTGCTTGACTTCAAAGGCGAGGACTTGTTTGAGGATGGAGGGATAATCCGGAGGATCAAGAGGAAGGGAGAAGGTTACTCCAACCCTAACGAAGGTGCTACGGTGGAAAGTGAGTGCCAGTCCCTTCGTGCGGGGGGCTGGAGGGGTGAGCCTGCCCTGGAGCAACCCCGCTTTCTCCTCCCTAGCAAGGAGCTGCTGGCACTGTATAGGCCGTAGGTGGCCGTGCATCACGGTGGGATGCAGTTACATCCATCCGGAGGACGGGATGGAGAGGGGCCGGGAGAGCAGCGGTTCACTGCCCGCCCGTGGATGCTGCTCTGAGCTGTCCTTGGCACGGCCCCGGCGGTGGCTCTGCCAGAGCTGCTGGCCGGGAGGGTTGACTGGAAAACCTCAAGCCGCGGGAGCAGCCGGACGATGATGAAGCGACCGCTCGAATATAACCTGCGCTCTGTTTTCTTAAGTCATGTCGGCAAACGTGTCCCTGCGAGCCCCGGCGCTGCTCAGTCGGCTGCCGGGGGGAGGATGGAGGAAGCAAACCCCTGCGGGGTTTTGGGGCTCTGCCATCTCCTCTGACCCTTTTGCATCCATCGTGCTGTCCAAGCCGCTCCGGGATGTGCCAGCTGCCGAAACCCCCGGCTCTGCCTTGCCTCGAAAGCAGCGGTAGCGGGGACGTCCTCCCTCGATGGTCTCTCTTGCTAAGCGTTTCAGGCACCGACGCAGGCGCTCGGCAGTTTTTTTGGCCTCCTTATTCCAACGTTGATCGTCATTTTGGTGGGTTTTATCGCATCGGTTGCAGAATGGAGCCTTTTCTTTTCCTTCCCTGCAGCCAGAGGGCTGCTGCTGATGGCTGGGGGGAAGGAAATGAATACAGAGGGATTGCTGAGGCTGGGGTTGTCTCTGCTGACGTGGGAGGATGAGGAGCTCGGGTCCCATCGGGCTCTCCCCGTTCTGGTCACGTTTCTGGAGCTGATGTTTCATGGGGCTGGATGGGGGAAGCCAGGTTCATTTTTTTTTTTTTTTCCCTTCCCAAGATCAGCCCGGCCACAGACACACAGCTTGCTCCGTACGGGAGGCATTTACTTTCTTTTCTCCCTTTCAGAGCTCCCATACACAAAGGTTAACTCCCTTTAGCAAAGGAGAAATTGGATCTGAGCTGTGACAGCTCATAAAGCTCGCGGCCTTGAACGACTGGTTTTTCTGACGAGGCTTTTTTTTAAGGAAAAATGAGTTTTTGACTCAGACTCGACTGTCTGCATCTCCTGCAGTGAGCATCATAGCGGGGGACCAGCTGCGAGCTGAGCTTCAAGCCGGCTCCACTACCCGAAAGATTAAACTAAAAGACTAAATATAATTGAAATCATCACGGATCCAGCTTTCCTCTTTATTTTGATTAGGTCTGAGCACGTTGCAGGCAGCGCCGTGCCCAATGTGGAGGACGGGGAGAGCCGTGGTCCCTCTGTGGTTGTTCCCTTTGCAGCTCGCGGTTTTCCTGAACTTAATCTCCTGATGCTTTAATGGCTCAGGAGGGCACGGAGGTGGGGAGCGGGGGGGGCACGAGCCAGGAATCATCCCTCTGAAAGGACATAAGGAGCCAAACAACGAGGCTCCTCATATGCCTGATGCCCCAAAGCCTGCTGCTGCTTTACCTGTTTCAAACGAAAGCGTCCATCGGAGCAAACACTGCGAGCGTGAGCACACGAGTGGTCAGAATAATGGAGATTAATGCCCTCCGAGGCGATCTTGCGTAACCGGTGTTGCTTGTGCCGGGCAGAGATGGGGAACGCGGCGCTGATCCCGCCGGCAGCCCGCCGCTCCGTCCGCAGCCACCCGCTCCTGCGGCATTTAATTCATTTAAACCTATACATCCCTATACATCCAGGGGCCGGAGACCCTTAAATATATCCCTGTGAGAGAGGATGAGGAGAAGCAGCACCAGGCAGCCTTGCAGTGAGCATTTTGGGTGCAAATAGGCTTTTTTTTTTTTTAAACAAATGCAGTGCTATTTATGATGGGCACTGCTGGGCATGGAGTGGCCCTGGGGACGGCACGGCAGCCCACCCCGGGGCAAGGCTGTGACCCAGGGGAGCAGCGATGGTTTATCTCGGGCACGTACTCGGGAGGTGCATTGCCACTGGAATTAGGCTGGAAGAAACCACGCTTCCAGGAGCGAGCATCTCCAGGCTGGAGTTTTGAAAGCGTTTTTATAGGTTTTAAGTTTTACAGAGCCTAATTCGCAGTTCCGGTCCCTAAAACCCGGGCTGCAGTCGAAATCTGGCATTCCAGCTTTTGTTACAACCTTTCCCCCCCCCTCCTCCTCCTTCTCCGTATTTAATCTGAGTACAAATTGCTGTCAGCACATCAAGTTCGTGTGCCAGCCGCACTCGGTACACTCTGTTCTCAGCTCTTCAAAAACAAAATCGCTGCAGGCACCGAGAGAACAATAAGTCAGGGCTGCAACCAGAGTGATGTTCCTTCAGCGGCTTTTTTTTTTTCCCTGTAATCCAAGAGCGACTGCAGCCAGCTGACCTGCTCCTGGAAACCTGAGCGGAGATTTCCCCCCCTTTGCCCAGTGTGTTTTATGTGCAATTAAAATAGAGCGAAGCTATCCTCGAAGGGAAGGATCGCAGCATCCTCCTGTGCGTCCTGTTTTAAAGCGGGTTCTTCCCGTCACTGTCGCATCCCGCTGGGGACAGGGGACCTGGGAGAGCTGTAGTGCTGCTTTTGGGGTCAGGGATTATGGATCCGTACTCACTGGGAACATGCAGGGAGATGGCATGGTGCTGAGGGGTTGCTGTGTTACCTGTATTTTAGGCTGCATTTTCCACTTTTCTATGACTAAGAAAATAGCCAGCTTGGTTTTGGGATAGTGCAAAAGCAGAGGTCAGCCCCAGAGGAGCTGGATTTGCCTTTTTGTCCTCGTTCCGAGCCGGGTGAGCACATTCCAGCCTGAACCTCCTGGTCACTGCATGCCAGTGATGGATGCAGGATGCGTCCCGGGGTGCTGGCAAGCACGTGAGCATCCTCCGCTCTACCGCGCCCGAGTCTCAGCGTAGCTTTGGTGGCAGGAGGGGGGATGACGAGGCAGAGCTTGGTGTCCCGTCCCCGCAGTGGGGAGAGCATCCTTGGGTTGTGTTACGGCAGCGTTTAACACCCGAGGGCTGGACCTGTCCCGAGGGAACGGGGGTCTGCCTGCGGTCTCGCTTAGTCCGTGCGTCTCATCCCGGGGCCTTTCCGTGGGTCCCAGGACAGGGAAGTGTCTGTGGGGCAGAGACTGGCAGGTTTCCTTCAGTCCAGGCTGCAGCACTCCCGTACGGAGCCCGGACCCTCTCGGCTGTGTCCGGCACCGCGTCTGCTTGGGCTTGTCCTTGCGCTCGCCTCCTGCCACCCCTGCCACCGGGGCGAGATGTTCGGTGCCCTGCGGTAGCTTGGGTCGCATCCTGCTCTCTGCGCTCTGCAGTGAGCAAAGGTAAAGCTCGTGTCCTTCCAGGCTGCAAAGTCTTTAAGTACAGTTGTGACAACATCGTGAGTTTTTCCTCTTAAAGAGCGTTTTGTGTTTGTTTTGGCTTTTTTTTTAACAATACGTAGGAGTTCCTTATGAAATTGCTTTTACTTTATCCCTGCCTGCACGCGTATGCCTTGTACCCTGCAAGCAGAGGGCAAAGAACATAAAACTGTCCCCAAAGCCCGGAATGTCTTTGGGATTGAATAAATAAAGAATAATCTTGCTGTGGAAACCCAGCCAGGAGTACCAGGTGGCGAATGTGCCAGGTACCCGGTGTCCGCTCTGGCTGCGCTTCTGCCAGCGTCTGGAGCTGGAACAGCGCGGTTATTGGTTGAAGATTAAAAAAAAAAAAAAGAAAAAATGTTTATCTTGTACTTTGAGTTCTTAGAGGCGGGAGAACATAGCCTTGTTTTCGAGGTAGAAGGCAAGGCGGTATAGCGCTGTATAGAAGATTTGTAATCGCCGTGATAAACTCTGCGTGGCGGCGTGCCAGGAGCAATATCCAGTTCCAGTAAGACTTGACTTGTGCAGTTGAGTACGAGGGGAACATATTAGTCATGATGTTTATCTGTTGTCTGGTCCTTGGTTAGACGAGATATGCCTGTCTTGCTTTCAGCAATGTTTCCAAGCCCTCCCCATCCCTCTCTACTCACTGGGGGCTCCTTGGCTGCCCCCAGCGCCGTGTCTTCCCCCTTCCAGGGCTTCCAGGGCTGGAGGCTTTGCTGGATTTTGGGAGACATGCTTTGTAAGATGCTTTCTTTGGAGCCCACCTTGCTTTGGTTTGGGCGGCTCTGGGTGCGATCCTGCCCCGTCCCCTCTTGCAGTTCACCTGGAGGGATTCTGCGGCGGCACCAGGTTCGATTGCAAAGACGTGAAGTTCGTGGTGGGCGAAGGGGAGGACCACGACATCCCCATTGGCATCGACAAAGCCCTGGAGAAGATGCAGAGGGGAGAGCACTGCGTCCTCTACCTCGGGCCGCGGTAAGGAGCATCCCCGCGGGGATGCCGTCTAGTTTTAAGCTTCCAGCATCCGAGGTCGTTTTAGCACTCGTGGAAGACGGTGATTCCGAAAATAGGACTCTCCAGGAGAGCCTCGGGGTTAGCGATGCCAGCAGGGATGGCAAGAGTGACTGGTGGCATGCAAGCAGGAACCTCGGGATGCTTTAAAAAATCGGGTAGAAGGCGTTTATCCGAGGCCTGTGGCTGAAAGGAAAATGTCTCCCTGGAAATGGCCAGGGCTGGGTCCTTACACTGGAGAGAAACCTGTATAAGAAGATGGATTTGATGCATCTGGAGAGGATGATTCCCAATATATAATGCATTGTATATTGTCAGGTATCTTTGCTCGTGGAGAATAACATCACCCTGGCCCCAAAACGTTAGAAAGCTGCAGGCATCGAGCTGGGTGTGAAACCAGAGTTAGTAACCTGGGTCTGTGTTTATGGCCAAACGCTGCCGAAATGAAGATTTCCCCCCCTCTCCTCTTGACGGCTCCTTTCTGCCCTTTCAGGTACGGCTTTGGCGAGGCGGGGAAGCCAAAATACGGCATCCAGGCGAACGCGGAGCTGGTGTACGAGGTTACGCTGAAAAGCTTTGAAAAGGTGAGGGTAGGAGCGCGCTGGTCCCTCCCCAGGTTACGGGAACGCCGGTCCCTTTGCAGCGTCCACCCTTTGTCCCTGGCGTGGCTGCAGCCCGGCCCCTGCTGAAGTGGATACGTCACCAAGGATCTCTGTGTTCTTAATTTGTTCTTCTCTCTTGGTTTGTTTTAGTTTTCTGGCTGGGGTCCAAGGCTGGTTCTCTTATTTGTTCCTAGCCTTGTTCCTTTTGTACTTTTATTTTTTTTCTTCCCCCCCTTTTTTTTTTCCCCTTGTATTTTTTTTGTCCTTTTATTCCCCCCCCCTTTTTTTTTTCTTTTCTTCCCCCACCCCCCAGGCTGCACAGATAAAAGTTGCCCCAAGGAGCTCGGCTGGCATGCCGAGCCAGCCGTGCCCGCGGGGAGGCTGGGGACGGGATGCAGGAGATGCCCATGGGATGGGACACGTGCTGCTGTGCCGCATCCCCGGCCGGGTCCCCTCCCCACCCCATCACCCTGGCCGGAGCGGGAGCGAGAGCCACCGCAACCCCTCTCTGCTGGGGGATGTCTCTCCCCACCCTCCTCTTCCCTTTTTGGGCTTCATTTTTTGGCAGGGTTTTTCCTCCTGTGGGGTCGCGGTGGACGAACCGCCTTGCTCAGGGTGAAGTCCTGAACCTGGCGGGGGTTTCCCTGTTGTAAAGGGCTCCAGGTCCACACCCCAACGTGTGCTCTGGGTGTCTCCTCGTCCCCAGCCCCTCAAATTAAAAAAACCTGCCGGATCTGCCCTCTGTAATACTGCCCTGACGAGCCCCGCTCGTTAACAAGCAATCCTAGAAAGCCACGTGGTCCTGCCGGTGCGGTGGGTTGCCGTGCTCCGCTGGGATTGCTCCGAGCGTTTATTTGCAGGCTAAGGAGTCGTGGGAGATGGACACCAAAGAGAAGCTGGAGCAGGCTGCCGTCGTCAAGGAGAAAGGCACGATGTACTTCAAGGTTTGTAACCTTGGGGATGGCGGAGGCGGAGTAAGGGAGCTGGAAATAAATTCGGGGTGACCGTCGGATACACGACTTAGCAGTCATCAGTGTCGGAGGAGCCCTGTCCCCCCAAAACAGCGCTGGGGAAGGCGAGTCCTGCCCTTCCTCTGCCTTTTTCTCGACTCCCTGAGATACCTCCTCCTTTCCCGGCATTGCCTTGCCCACGTGCGCTCCCTGCGGAGCGGGACGGCAGATCGGACTCTTCCCAGGGGTGGATGTGGCCAGGGCTAATGCCGAGGGGCTTTGCAGTTCCCTTTCCCGGGCTGGGGCATCCCGGTCCTCCTCTGCTCTGCACAGAGAAGGAACGCAAGCTCTGACTTGGCTTTTCACAGGGGCTGCACGCCGGCAGCTCCAGCCAGGCCCCGGTGTGTTTGTAGGTATTCGGCATCCTCCTTCATTCGTTCATTCATTTATTTAACACACTGCGTTAAACTCGTAACCTGTTTGCAGGATGTTTCGGAAGCAGACCGAGCGTTGTCGGCGCGGGTTCCTCTAGCCTCTTCTTCTTTGCTCCATCCCAGGAAGGCAAATACCTGCAGGCGGTGATTCAGTACGGGAAGATCGTGTCCTGGCTGGAAATGGAGTACGGCTTGTCTGAGAAAGAGTCGAAAGCCTCCGACTCCTTCCCCTCCTGGCTCTTCCTCAACCTGGCCATGTGCTACCTGAAGCTGCGAGAGTACGCCAAAGCCGTCGAGTGCTGCGATAAGGTAGAGGTGCATGAGCCCGGGGGTTGGGGCATCCTCTCGTCCTGCATGTTTTCCCTGGGAGTTTGGGGGTTTTTGAATTTCTTTTCGAATAAGAAGCAATGTCCAAGCGGCAGCGGGATGGAGGCATCCTTTCTGCACCTGGGGGTCTGCGCGCATGCTGCGTGCTCGGAGACTGCAGGAGCGAAAGTGCTTTTTGGAGTTTAAAATCCACCTGGGCATGCGCCTACAACAGCTTTTCTTCCAAAGCCGGATCCACGTGAACGGATGCTGCAGGGACCGACAGCCTTAGGACGCTGTTTGGGTCTGCCCGGGCTGGATCTGGGCGTCGGGTGCTGATCTGGGTACGACAGAGGCAGTCTCTGCCCGAGCTGCAGCGGATCTCCAAGTCCATTGAGGGGTGGGATGGGGCTTTGCCAGTCCCTAAAAGAGCTGCAACCTTGTCTTTGTCAGGAAACTATTAATTCTTTTATAAAAGGCTTAAATTTAAGCATCTTGCGTATGGGAAAGACAGTAAAGCTAGTTGCCTTAATCTAAAAGGTAAATCACCTCTGAGATGCATATGTGGCTTTTACTAAAGGAAAATAACGTCATTGCTAAAGCAGGGAGACAAAACCACGTTTAATCCATCAGCTCCCTCGGCTCCGAGCTCCCCGTGCTCCTCTGGGCTCAGGTTTAGCGTTTACACCTGATTTCTTGTCTGCGGGTTTGTCTCCCACCGACTCTGCCACTCTCAGGGGGATTTTAAGCTAGGAGAAATAACTAAACTGTATTGATGACCTGCCAACTGCTGATGGAGACGAGTCAATTTTTGTTGAGCAAAATGCGAGTGCTCTGGAGACTTGAGGCCACCTAGTCCTAATTTCGGCAGATTTAATGAGGCTTCAACCGTAAGGGGGTCTTCGGGGGATCCCCAAGTTGCTAACAGGGACCTGTGTGTTTCCAGGCGCTAGGACTGGACCAGGACAACGAGAAGGGCTTGTACCGGAGGGGTGAAGCCAGGTTATTAATGAACGAGTTCGAGCTGGCAAAATGTGACTTTCAAAAAGTGCTGGAAGTGAATCCACAGAACAAAGCAGCGAAATCCCAGATCTCCGTCTGCCAGAAGAAAACGAAGGAGCACAACGAGCGGGACCGGAGGATCTACGCCAACATGTTTGCGAAGTTTGCGGAGAGGGATGCAAAGGTGCGTGTCGCCTGTTTTTGGCCGTCTAACAGGCTGCGCTGAAGGATGCCCGGCAGGTTTGTGGTGAGAAGAGATGGGTTAAAACCAATTAAATGATAGATCAGGTTGAGGATGGAGGGATAGAGCCTGCTGCAATGGGAAGAAGTGGTTTATTTCTTGGTCTCTCTTACGCAGAGACTGCCGTCAGATGCTCAGTCATCAATAAAAATATTTGCGGTGCGAGCTCCCGAGGGCTGGTAACAGGCTTGGCATTTGTACTTAATTTTGCTGTTCCCAGCTAGTAACTGTTGATGACCTCCTGGTCGCCAGTAAAATGAAATGTCATCCTGCCTCTGGCAAGGCCAAGGGTATTTTGAGACATGATAGTATGGATTTCCTGAACCTGGTAAGGCAATAGCCTGCTCCTCTGCTCGTACGGAGAGATCGCTGTCTCCTAACAGGCTTTCATCCAAAATTCCTCTGCACAAAACCCGGTGTACTGTAATGAGAGAGGACACAGCTTTGCTAGCCGTCTGCACGGGTCATTTTTAGTATAATCTCTTCTGAACTGGTGCCTGGAGGTGAGGCTGTGGAATAAGTGGCCGGTGCAGACCCTGGGGAGCAGCGTGCCGGGGTAA